ATTTCAGTTTTGCTGCTTGTTCTATCGCGTCTACTGTATTTGTTCTGGTTTGTGGTTGTAAACTATATATTTTTTTAAATACCTGTTTTAAGAATTATTTCCAGAGTGCAAATCAAAACGTCAAACGTTATTTAAAAATGTGATTTTCCTGTGACATACCACAAGAAAACAGTTTTAGAACTTTTTTTTGTCTGGTGTGTTTAAAAATTCCTCCGTGTCTTCTGTTGTATACAGTTCAATGAGATAATCGATCTATTCTTTCTTGGGTATTTGATTGGTGTTAACTAATTCATTAACTTTTAACTGTTAATATTTGTTTCTGTAAATTATAGAAATCGTCTTTAATCCTTTTGGAAAAGTTGTCCCAATATTAGTTTCTCGCTTTTTACTAAAGTCAACGTTTCGCTTCTTAGCTTTCGATATTTTAGCTTACGATTCTGGAGCTCCCACTGCTCGACGGAATGCACTTGAAGTAATTAAAAATTTTTTAAAGCTAAATATAATATCTGAAGAGGTAGGCCTCAAAATGAACAAAATCGAAACAAAAATAAAGGACAATAACAATAACAGATAAATAGATAAATACAAAATCATATTATAGAAAATTCGAACACCATGGCATGTGGTAAAGTTAAGAAACCCAAGTCAGGATGGGGCTGAAGTAAAACATAATATATCAGGATATTTTATAGCAGATAATAAAAGCCACAAAACCAGATACAATGATAATAGGTGAACACGAAAAATCCTGCAATAAAGATTAAAAGCAATGAAAAACAGTATAGGCAGACCTCAAAAGAAATGGGTAGACGATATAAGCAGAGGAGAATAAACGCTGGATGAGCTTCACGCAAGACAGAGAAAAATGGGAAAAATTGGTAGAGACCAATATTCCGGAGTTAAATTATAAAGGCTTACGAAGAAACCAGTTCCGAAAATAATGTTCCTTTTATTCATCTACTTATCTTGTTTTAATTAGTTTTATTTCTTTCTATGTCTCTACATTTCTCTTCAACTTTTGCGTAAGATCTTTTCTAGAAGATATCATTGCCCTTAACGTAAACATATAAAAAACTATTGAGACGACAGCCTGATGTATTGAGTATTCTTAAAAATGTTTATAGTGTATTTGTAAGACTAAATCACTCTATTAGTAGAATAAGCTGCTCCCAAATTTCTGTCACTCTAAGGAAAAGTTTTGTATTGTCTGGAGTTCTAAAATATTTATGTAGACTATTAAAAATGTATGTGTCAGCCTAAAAGTTTTAATTAGTTTGTTATATATTTTCGTATTGAATGTTTGAAATACAAAAATAGATGGATTGTCTAAAAATGGTATTAAGTAAATATGGAAAATAATTGTGTAATAACGATCTACAAATTTCTGTTTTTATTTACAAGTAGTAAAAAAATAAGAATAAGCAATGTACACAATCCGAATATAATATACTTAACTAAAAAATAGTTTCATATACGGGGTTACGCAATTGAACTGTTACCAACTTCACACCGATATATCTGACAAATCGATAATGACAGCTACGTCAAAGTTAGCCTGATAATACTTCAGTATATTGTTTATAAGCCGTCAAAAGCATTTGCATGTTTTAAATACACAACAAAAGTTGTTTGTAATAGAATTTAAACGTAATAGTGTGATTGCGTTATATTTGGCTGGAAAATCAGAACCAGCTATTGTTCGTCAGCTCAAACACCTTAAAGTGAATAAAATGTTTGTGTATCGCACCATAACTCGTTATAATGATACTGGTAGCATTGCCAAACGCTATGGTGGCGGACAAAAAGAACAGCAACATCACCTGAAATGGTTCGGAAAGTGAAGGCTCGACTTGAGTGAAATTAACGTCGTAGTGGTAATCAAATGGTCAAAGAACTGAAAATATCCCAGCAAATCATGCAATGAATATTGAAAAAGGACCTTACGGTCAAGCCCTACAAGTTTCAAAAAGCACACAATCTTACACCAAAGCAAAAAAAGGTTCGGCTTGAAAGAGCAAAGGAGTTGTTACGCCTGCACGAACGTGGCGAAGTTTCGAACATAGTGTTGTCTGATGAGAAAAAGTTCCCCATTGAGCAGTTCATAAACTCTCACAGTGATCGTGTTTACTTGACCGAACGCACCTACGAAAGTTTGAGCTTACGAACGGCCACCTGAAGTAATTTCCCATATCAAGTAATGGGATGGGCAACTGTAACCTCCGATGGACGCTCTCCAATCATTTTTATTGAATCTGGTGTCAAAGTCAATGCAACTTATTATCGGGAAAATGTTTTTGAAGCTGATTTAGAGCCATTTACAAGCAAATATTTCGATTGTAGACCATGGACGTTCCAACAAGACTCGACACCATCTCATAAAGCTAGTGTGAACCAAGAATGCTTAAAAAACCATGTTCCACACTTCATTTCATCCACACAATGGCTTTCGAATTCGAGAGACGCAAAACCGATGGACTATTCCATCTGATGCATTTTGGAAAACAAGGTGATGACTAAAAAATATGCCAGTACGGATGCGCTGAAGAAATCAATTATACGTGAGTGGGCCAAAATACCGGAAAATCACATTCGTGCAGCATGCAACTCGTTTTTTGATCGTTTGAAGCTTATAGTCAAGGCAAAAGGTGGTCACATCGAGATAAAGTGAGTGGATTCTGAAATTTTGATTATTTTCACACATTTTTGTCATTTGAATCAATAAAATAAATAATTTCACACAAAAAAATTATGGTCGTTTGAATAGGTAACAGTTCAGTTGCGTAAACCTGTAGATATATATATATATATATATATATATATATATATATATATATATATATATATATATATATAAATATATATATATATATATATATATATATATATATAATATATATATATAATATATATATATATATATATATATATATATATATATATATATATATATATATATATATATAATCTGTTATACAGATTTCTCCTCATATTTGCTGCCTCCTATAGCTTGCAAAGAAATAAAGTATTTTTGCTCTTAATTCGACTAGGTTTGTGACTCTTTCAAACTGATGCCTATAATGTTTTCTTTGAGAAAACCCCAAAAAAGAAAATCGTTAGGCGCTAAGTCACAGGATCTAGCGGGCCATTTATTTGTACCACGTGTACTTGTCAACCGATCAGGAAATGTTTGATTGAGGAAGTCAATAGTTGCTCTAGAGTCTAGAGTTGTGAGCCAAACACCCATGCTGTTGGAAATAAACCTGAAAATTAACAGGAAGGCGTAGAACTGCCGGAATGATCTTATTCTGTAAAAGTTGTAAATATTTGGGCCTGTTTAGGTTTTCATCGATAAAAAGTGGACCGACAATATGGTCGCCTAACATCTCAGTCCAAACATTTAATTTTTGCTGATGCTGCGATCGCACTGCAACTGAAGTGCTTATTTTTCCGAGAATAACACCCTGCAACAGATGGTTTGTGTTTTTTATGTAATGAAAATGAAGATTCGTCAGAAAATACCGTATTTTTTTAAAAGTGTACATTTTCGTTCTGTTTATCTAATAGAAATCCACAAGACTCCATCCACCAAAGTTATCTTCCGGAAACAGTTCTTGTGTTGGTTGTATCTTACAACAGTGTTGCCCATTCCTTTAAAGTACTTGCTGGACAGTTTAAGCAGTCACGTTAACTTCCCTATCAATTTGTACACTATTACAAGGTTCACTAGCTTCCAAAAAAGCACAAATATCAATATCCCTGATTTGACGTTCCTAATCGACAGGTTTAACACGTGGTTCATGACACTTCTTTCAACTGTTTATACATCCTGAAGTTTGAATAGGTTTAATGATATTTTCAACTATTGTAACACTTGGTGGGGGTATAGAGTAATAAACAATCAGAATGCCCACTATGCTTGAAAAATTAGTACGCGCTTGTCGTTCGCGCAGACGGAATCAGCCATATTTTAAATGGAACCAGTGTTGTTCAGTGACATTTTATCTGGTGTGTATAGACAAATTAACCCGGTTTAATTTATTTACGGCAACTACAGACATAATATGCCCTATTTTATTCTTACTTTAGTTGAAAAATCGATTAAATTATTTTCAATGTACTCAATTATTAATCTCTAAAAATTTAAATTACAGTTCTGTCATAGCTTGTCACAAATGTCTCAATTCGAGTCTATGTTTCCGTCTAAAACGTGGCGTTCGCGTGCTGAAAATCTTCAAAGGCGGCATCTGTGAGAGGGCATTCTGATTGTTGTATAATCTGTGAGGGGGGGCTATTTTCGAAGGCAACAATAAATAAATAAATTACTTGGCATATCGAATGACCCTGAAAGTACCACCATTTTACAAGTTGCACTTTTTCTTGGACGGTATACAACGTAATAGGCATTTTATTAATTATTTGTTTGTTTTGTTTGAAATTTTTAATGTCAATGTGACAATTATGACAATTTAGACCTACTACGAAATAAATATAGAGTTGGAAACGTGTAACATGTCACAGCGATGGTCATTGTGTTGTATGATCAATAAAACAATGTCGTAATCTGTATGATTTTGATTAATTGTAAAATTGTCTAACATTTTTTTTTATTCTTTTTTAATAAATTATTGAATGGTTTAGTATCACAAAATTATTTGGTTTAGTTTATTTTCCTATTGCCCATCCATTCCTTAAAGGCAACTGTCTAAAGAATACTGTGAAGCCACTTATTATAATTAACAATAAAAAGAGTCCTGAGATCAAATTTTAATTAAAATAAATTTATTTATTTTGCAAAGTTAGGATTAAGGTAATTAAATCAATTAAACATATAACAGGTCTAAATTTTTAACTCATAATAATATATATCTGATCAATTCATAATTTATATCTGATCATTTTTAATACTGACATACATTACCTCAAAATTTTTATTTAGTAGCAATATATTTATATTTTTTTTTTTTGATTTAGTAGGTATATTTTTATTATAATTTACTTACCATTATACGATAACTTCTACATCAATTCAAAATTGTTGTACTTAATTTAGAGATTATTTTAATAATAAACAAACTTACAAATAGATATAGTCGCGTTACTTTTAGGGTCTATCAATTAACAAGTCAGTGTTTAGCAGGGTCAATAAGATTTATGTCAGAAACACCTTACCCACCTAAGCAGTATATTGATACAAAGGACTAAGGTTTAATAAATCGTTTTTATCGGACAAAACTACAAAAATAGCTTTCGGTATAACGGATTTAAGTTACATATTATGTTCGCTTACTCGAACAAAAATAGTGTAATCTAACTTATGTTCGTTGAAACAGTCTTAATATTAACCTTATATTTTAAGATACGACTTAATTATTTTCTACCAGAACGAACTTCTTCACAATTTACAACCAGATATGTAGATAACTCATTTTGGCTAAAAATTGACTTCATTTTGCCCTAACACTATTTAAATACGGGATGTTTTGATATCTTTGTCTCTAGATGATCCATAAAAATATCTGATAGCAATGAGTTTAGACATCTTGTACTGAAAAATCAGTTGTAAAATCGGCTACGAAACTTACCTTTGCCCCTAGACTACTTAATTTACTTTCATCTCTATATAAATGTAATCTTCGATAAGAATTTTTTTTACTGCATGCTGAATTTTACTGCATTGTTACAAATTTAATCGTAAAAAAATACTGACAATGCCAACTAAACTATCAACAAGTCATATATCTACTGTATATAAAATTAACTTTATATTCTGCATCCCATTTATAAAATATGAGACGGTGTCTACTAATACAGCTTAGGAAGAGCATCAAGTAGATATTATTTTTTTGAATGAAATTGTGTGTGTATCAAACATTACTATAATTATCTTCTACCGCTTAATATAGCGGAAGTGGCGCTGTCAGTAGGATCCTGATTGCTATCGCATCGCCGAACGTACACAGGAAACAAGGACAGGAAACGTAGAAAGGGAAAGCACGCGCCTCTCTAACAAGTGAGGCCAAAATGAATTATAAATGACTTGTAAGAACTAACTCCCTCTACCTCATTCCCCTCAGTGCTCTTTCTCTCTCTTTACCCTCTTGGCGCGTGTTTTTATATTTTCCTGGCCCTCGCCCCTTCCTTTTCAGTTTGTACTTACGGCAGAAATTCTGAATTTTAAGCTTTACATTTGGGGGTAATGCTTAGATATAAAGGTGGAAGCACAAAGTGTTATCGTTATCGTTAAGATAATGTAACGACAAAGGGAGATCCTCTGAGTGGAGCACGCCATGAAATAAAGAAGATATTTAAGTTTTATTTTTTAAATAACTTAATAAGTTATCAGTCATTTTGTATTCCCTTTATGTTCTCATAATTATAAAAATTGTAACCAATAATGAGACTAAAAATAAATCTTTAAGTACTAGTATATTATCTAACGTGCATATAATATTTTATTGGTTGGAATCCATTGGGTTTTCAGCGAAATTTCGTACAAAATTGGAGTTTTGGGAAGAGTTTTTAATTTAAGAGTTTAAGTTTTTAATTTAATAAAGACTCTTTCAAAATAATATTTCAAATGTGTTTCGGTCTCTAAATTTATAAAAGGCTGCAGATCACATGAACACTTACACTTCTATTAAAACAAAATATGATAAACCCAATATGGCACCAAAAAAAATACAGTATATTTGATGTTATAGCTTTTTAAATCTATAGTTTTTCTAATTAAAATAGTTAATTTAATATAATGATCAAGGAGTTAATAGTAAATTTAATCAATTTTTTTTTAATATATTTTTAAATATCTGTATTATTCCAAAATTTCTTTCTATTAAGCTTTTATTTTCATTAAAAGTTTTTCTGTTTCGTACTGTTATTTTCATAGACATAAATTTTGCACTAGGAGATTGGTCTGGTACTTATTGCAAGGATTATAATATATGTCTATGGTTATTTTTTTATACAAAAAAATAAACATAGAAGACATGTTATTACCAATACCCATACGTTCTAGACACCATCACTGACTGCCTCGAACACCATCAAGGACTTGATATTAGTGTTTAGCGACCATAAAAACATCAAAGTAATGAAGCTGCACTAATTTTGTATCGAATTTCCACAAAACTCTAGGAGCAGAGGCTGACCTGATTGCTTTTGAGTTTTGAATTTCTTCAAAAATTTGAAGGTGGTCCGTTATGGCCACCAGATGTCTCGTACGCCATCGCCGACATGGTGTTAGTATTCAGCGATGACAAAAACTCCTGAGTAACAAGTTTGAAGTGATTTTGTATCAAATTTCTATAAAACTTTAGGAGTAGAGTTTTTCAACCAAATTTTGTTCACTAATTCGAATCGAATGCGAAAAGTTTTATTGAGAGACCCTACTGCAAAAAAAATAAATTATAAAATTATAAGCCCACGCTTATCCACAGGCAATCGTATAAATGAAAAAGGCCCAGAAATAACCAAAGAAAAAGTGATTCACGCAGTAAAATCTCAGAAAGATGGAAAAGCCACCAGTCCAGACAATATAAATGTCGAAATACTAAAACTAATTGCAGATAGAAAAAGTAAAACCCTAGACTTAATAAGAGCAGTATTAAGTTAGATATATGATAGGTAAAATACCAACAGACTGTTTTATGTTACCAGACAGACTCTGAGACAAATTTCTCACAATGCGATGATGTCTTTAAAACTTTTCTCAGAATTATCCATACACGAATTTAGAAGAAGTGTGAGTTCCAGATAAGTGACACTCAATTCGGATTTCGAAACGGATTGGGAACATGAGAGGCTCTTTTTGTGTTAACGCAACGATGCAGAGACATGAATGTAGATGTGTAGATGTTTTATTGGCTATCGAAAAGCATATGACTGCGTTACCCATCAAAAGATGATCAAAATTCTGAGAAAAACTGGCATTGACGAACAAGACTTGCGAATTATCTCAGAACTATACTGGCACCAAACGGTAATAATTAAAATATAGCACACAACATCCGAAGATATACAAATCCGACAAGGAGTGAGATAGGGTTGCGTCATATTACCGCAACTGTTTAATTTGTATTCGAAGTCTGTATTAAGATAAGCATTAGATGAGGTCCAAGGCAAAATTAAGATTAAAGGAATCAGCATAGACAACATCAGATATGCTGGTTATACTGTCTTAATAGCAACCAACGCACAAGAACTACAAAAAATATAATAAATGCAGTAGTTCGCTACAGCGAAATGTTCGGTTTACATATAAACGTTTGCAAAACTAAAACTTTAGTACTTTCAAAGACACCAATAAACGTACATGTGTATGCCAAGGGTCAAATAATAGAACAGGTAAATTCCATAAAATATTTAGGAGTAAATATCAATAGTCAGTACTGTATGGCTGTGAAAGTTGGACAATAAACTCTGAAAAAAAAAGAATAAATGCTTTTGAGATGTATATACAGGCGAATGTTGAGAATTCCATGGGTACTAAGAGTTACTAATGTTGAAGTACTTCGTCGCATGTGTAAACAAAAAGAATTACTAAGAATAATCGAAGAGAGGAAAATGTAATACTTGGGTCATGTGTTGAGTAGCGAAAGATATGAATTACTTTAAGTTATACTGGAAGGAAAAGTACAGGGCAACAGATCATTAGGAAGACTTCAGAACTCGTGGCTGATAGACCTGAGGAGATGGTTCGACCGCTCATCCGCAGATATCTTTTGCGCAGCAGTTTTCAAAACTACATTTACCATTTGAATCGCCGACTTTCTAAAGGAGACGGCGCCATGAGAAGAGGAAGACTGCAAAAAATTGGTAGGTTTTGGGCTGTTTACTGTTTCGGATTAATTAAAGGATTAGGAATTATTTTAACAAAAACTATCCTTTGTATGTCGTCATTGAATAAGAAAGAATAAAATGTTTTTTTTTTTATTTCCAGAGTAAGAAAAAATGAAGTCAAATATAAAAAAATATAAATAAAATAACAATGTTTTATATATATATATATATATATATATATATATATATATATATATATATATATATATATATATACAGTGTAGGAAAAATTTTATGGTCGGTATGGACCTTACGTGAGATGGAGTGAGAAACAGCTGTTTAAAAAGAGAGAGGTATATTAGGTACGCCCTTTATATCGCCGAATGGAAATATTAAAAAAGGGGAAATTCAACGTTGCCAAACTTATTGGTTTTATTTGACCTGTTGTCTTTTTTTGCATTTGAACAATGTTCTATCAAGAAGATAAAATGCTCAAGATAATCAAATTTGGGCGAAATTGATTTAAATGGCAGGTTACTGTTTTTTTTATTGGGAATATGCCACAAGTTTTCTTTACAATAATTGTAATATAACATTTTGATTTCCATTTCGGAAATCGTTTTATATAAATAAAATTTATTAATGTTTCGTATTTTAAGTACGATTTCCGAACTAAAAATCTAAACATCAAAATAATTTCCCAATATGAAATAATAAACAATTAAACATGCATACAATAACGCCAAATTAAAAAATATTCATACACTAATTTATTTGGCAACGTCTAGTCTAGATAGTCCTCTGGTCAAAAGATCGAGTAACGAGAAGTAGAGGTGGGTCGTGCTAGTTTATCGTAGGAGCAAAATTTCGGGCCGATGTTTTTTAAATGCATTCATTTTTTTCGAATCCTGAGAAAACTAATAAATATTTTTGAAAAAATTAAACGCAGAATGAAACAATACATTATTACCGAGAGCTGAAAGTCCCTGAAAACTTCTGTAATGTTTATTTTAATAAGTTATAGGGATGAAAAAAAAAAAACAAAATTTAGTGTGATTTTTAATTTCAAATATCTCATTAAAAAAACTTTTTGTTTATTCTAAGGGACCTTCGGCCCTCGGTAATAATGTAATCTTTCATTCTGCATTTAAATTTTTCAAAAATATTTGTTAGTTTTCTCAGGATTCCAAAAAAATTTAAATTTTTTTGAATGCTAAAAAGCATT